ATAACAAAGGGACGAGTGCTCCTCCTCCCACGGTAAATGACCAGTGGTACCCAGGATGACATCCTTTGGGGATTGGGGCAGGGTGTTCTCAGTATAGATCAGGATGAGCCTATAAATAAATAAATTAATGGAGATATCCTATCCCCTAGAACTGGAAAGGACCTTGAAAGGTCATTGAGTCCAGCTCCCAGCCTTCACTAGCAGGACCAAGTACAGATTTTTGCCCCAGATCCCGAAGTGGCCCCCTCAAGGATTGAACTCACAACCCTGGGTTTAGCAGGCCAATGCTCAAACCACTGAGCTATCCCTCCCCCCTATGCTTTCTCATTTCTAGGGAGCAACCCACAACACCTCTTTGCATAAACTTTCCCTCAGCACCGGCACCTGCACAACGTCCCAGCGGTATCCCTCCTGAAAATGACCTCCACTCATACCATATTGCCAAGGAAACCAGCATAAAATAAGGGAGAGGTGGGGAGGCTGGTCCTCCTTCGGTAAAGTAGAGATGACATTGTTAATGTTGTATGTGGCATCGAGAGGCTACAGCAACGGTCACATGAGAGGAAACAGGGAGTTACACTTTTACCTTCCAGCATTTGAGATGCTTCACCCGTTATCATTTTGGAGAGCCCAGCATTGCTTCTCATTGTGAATGTTTCGCTTGTAACCAGGCCAAAAGCGTCATCTCTTCATTCAGTCTTGCAGCCATTTCCTAATTTGCCTCTGTTGGCCATTAAAAGCTCCTATCACAGAAGTCCGCATCCACTTGCCTTGCTGTCTGGAGTGGAATGTTGCTCATAGCTGCAATTCGCTGTGGCAGGAGTCAGAACTAATGTTCTTCTGGCATTATGTTAATTGCAAAAGGACTCCCTAAGTGCTGCAATGTATAAACTTCACTGAATTTACAAACATATCAATACTAGAGATGCTAAATGCCAGTAGATGGTACCCTCTGCATTAACCATCTACTCCACAGAATATGGGCAACTTTTGTATTTAATAGGAAAAGTATAGTAATATAGCATAAGTATAGCCAGATAGTATATTGTGTTTTGTATACAATTCTTGTCAGGGAAAACAAAGGTAAAAGAGTAAATTCCACTGTACATGTCACACCTCTTGCTTTTGCACCATTAAAACTATGCTATGAAAGTCAGCATGTTAGCCAACACTCTCCTTGGCTGTTGTAAAGAGAAAAAGCCCCTAAAAATGTACAATAGCTATTCAAATTTGGTCAGACTGCACCCACAGAGCATCTGAGTCACTATTACATCGCATAGATTCTCTCACTTTGTTACATAAAACGATTGCTTTGAAATTCTCCTTCTGGAAGTTACAGCTGTTTGACTGGGCTATTTTGAGCCATTCTTTCCTGAATTAATTTAACTCCTCCCACAAATCAAATGCACCCTCAAAGCTAAGACATGTCACAAACAATGAGCAAACATTAGTAAAGAGTTTAGTATTCAGCTGCTGACTGCCATTTCAGAATAGGAGCTCCATTTTCAGAAAAATAAAAGTCAATGGCTTTTTTTGCATCCCTCCACTAAAACAACTAGACTTATCTCACACTGTGATGACGGAGGGGCTTTGTCGACCAAATGCAAGGAACCATTTCTGAAAACTCAAATAAAACCTATTTTATTACTGTAGGACTATTTTTAAATGCTTCAAGGACACCAATGTGCAGCATTGAAATTTAATCCCATTTACTCAAAGTCCTATGACATCACTCGTCCTCAAAGTCCTGAAGGACAAACATAGGTGATTCTGACACCTTTGGGGCTTTTAAACAACACCTTGGTCAAAGCTGTCCCACTGTTAAATTATTCTGATGTTCCCTCTGTCCCGTTCATCCCTTTTGCTAGAAATTGCAATGGTCTGTTTTTCCCTCTCAGAATGATTAGCACAGTCTTCTGTCAGATTTATTGTTCTGGTGCTATAAAGTTTAAAGCGGTTATCTGAAGCAGAGATTTAGATTATTGCTGTAGCAATATAAAAGGTTATGCACAAAATAGGGCACTTGTCAGTCACTCCTGTACCAATATGCAGCAGGGCAATAAGAAAGGACCTTTCTGAAAAGAAACTGAAATCAATCCAAACCCTCTCTAGTAATAAATATTGTAACTGTTAAATCAAAATGATAAACAGAAATCTCAACAAGAAATCAGTAGGATTAAAGTGGTGCCAACTGAGATTGGGGGCCCTATTATGCTAGCCACTGGACAGACACACAAAATGAGATGCGGTCCATGCCTTGAAGAAGTAAATAGATAAAAGGTGTGAAGCAATATTATTTCCCTCATTTTACAGATGGGGAACTGAACAGTGTCCGTGGCCAGGGAAAGGAGGTCAATGCATAACAGGAAATCGCTGATCTGAACTTTGTCTGTTAGAACAACCAGTGCAAGCCATCCAGTCTAAATTCTGCCTGTGCAGAACAAGCAGTGTAATGTGTGGCTCATCTAAATGACTCACATATTCACCACTGACTTCCTGAGGAAACTACAATCCATCGGTGATCTTCCAGAAAACACCATCCTGGCCACTATGGATGTAGAAGCCCTCCACCCTAATATCCCAGAAAAAGAGGAACTAAACAATAAAGCAAAAAATACCCCAGATATTATCACCGCT